AGGACAGCTTCTGAAATGTGCTTCGAGGCACCTCAGTTTTCAGCTTATGCAACTTTATGCCAGTGTTACAAAGCTCTTAGTCATGTCAGTTATGGCATCTCCCCCAAACTTCCAACAAACATGGCCAGAGTCTCATAGCTTTGGTTTGTTTGGCTAGCAGTCCCAAGGTCTCTCTCTCATGGCAGGTCTCTGATTCCCTGCGGGGACAGTTACAGCTGCTGCATATGTAGACAACCCCCATCAGAGAGATGTGGGAATCTTTGACCCCAAAAGAAGCACACTCTGCATTAATTTAAAGACTCTTGTCAGCAGCTAATTTCAGTGTAAGTTTATATCTGATTATTTTTCCTAATAATAAACACACCTTGGTATATTTTATACAGTTGTAATTCTGTTATATCAGCTTATAATAGGTGTAGTAATTAATACCATTCTCTCATACTTAGTTTATATTTAACATTTTCTTAAATGTCTCTCACATTTTTTCCAATTGGTTTATCTGAATTAGACATCAAGTTTTTAATTTTTCATTGTTTTTCTAAGTCACATTTAATTTTTAAACATGATTTCTTTTTAATGGTTTATATTAGTTAGTTTTTTTTACTGAGTAGTTAACATTAGGTTTTGGGATTCCCATTCTTCTCATAGTTAACCATATTTTGTTGTGATCCACACAGTCAAGTACATTTGCATAGTCAATGAAACACAGACATTCCTCTGGTACTCTTTGCTTTCAGCCAAGATACATCTAACGTTAGCTGTAATATCCCTAGCACCATGACCTCTTCTAAACCCAGGCTGCACATCTCACAGTTCTCTGTTGATGTGCTATTCTACTTGTTTTGGGATAATTTCCAGCAGAATCTGCCTTGCATGTGATATTGATATTGTTTGATAATTTCTGGACTCTGTTGGGTCACCTTTCTTTGGAATGAGAACATAGATCTCTTCCAATCAGTTGGCCAGGTGGTTGTCCTCCAGATTTCTTGGCACAACTTGGTGAGCACATCCAGGGCAAAGTCTTTTTGTTGAAAGATGTCAATTGGTATGCCATCGGTTCCTATTACCTTGGTTTTTGCCAATTCTTTCAGAGCAGCTTAAATTTCTTCATCATCACAGGCTCTTGCTTATAGGTTGGTTGTTTCATGAAATTCTTCTGTTAAAGACAACTTTTTAGCACAATGACTCTGTATACTCCTTCCATCTTCTTTTAATGCTTCCTGGATCATCTTATACTCTGCCCAAAGCAAACTTAAGTATTGCAATTTAAGGCTTAAATTTGTTCTTTAATTCCTTCACCTTAAGAAATACTGAGTGAGTTTGGCCCTTTTGATTTTCTGACTCCAGCTCTTTACATATTATAATTGGTCTTTTGAAATCTTCTGTTCAGCTCCTTAATGTCTCGATTTCTTCCCTTTGCTTTGGATTCTCAATGCTCTGGTGCAATATTCTTGTAGAGTATTTGTAATTCATGATTATGATGGTAGCTTTTTTATAGTGCCTCGCCCCTCTTTTTTTGTGTGTATTTTTTTTATGTTCTAAGACATGTTCACCATTTTAATTTTGCATTTTAAAGGTATATCTTTTGTATGTTTTTGTAGGTTCTTGTCCTCATATTTATTAATTAAATTCTTATTTGCACTAGTCAGTCATTATTTAAAGGTATTTCTGATTTTTCAGCCAATCTGTCATTTCACACATGCCATTTACATCTCTCTCCCAACCATGTTGTTCAAATGCATATGACTTTTTGTGTGATATGCACATAGACTGTAACTATAAATTCAAGATTATCCATATTGTCCAAACAGTTTCCTTGGTACTAGGCATCTTTAGCTCCTTTTAAATAGCAGCAGTGATAGTGTTTAGTGTTTGTTGTTTTTCATTTTGTGCTTTTTCTGTTGTGTATTTACTTCCTTCAGTAATCTGCGTTCTGACATTTTCAATTGATGTAAAAAATAATCTGAAGAAATAAAGTAAACTAAGAGTGTATTTGTTTTGTTTGTGAGAAAACAATTCAGTCTTACACGTAGTTTACTGTGTTTCCATTTGCTTTTACTAGTGGTTTCTGACCCTGTAACTGTAGATTAAAGGAAAATTGAGTGACTTAATGGTTAATTTCAAGCTGTAGTGAAATACTGTCACTAAACTACTCTTTAATGCTCTTACTTCAAATCAAAATATAAAATAATCTCTTTTAACATATTATTGTTGTTGTGTTCTGTCAAGTTGGAACTGTTGTGTATCCGACTCTCCAGCAGATTTTCACAGGCAGTAAATCATGAGGGAGGAAATTGCCCATCTTTCTTCCATGGAGTAGATGGTGGACTTCAACTATATACCTTTGAAATGATAGCATAATTCTTACCACGAAGCCACCACCGGGTCTTCTTGGAATATATAGTAATGAACTTTCTTAGAAAAGAAAATTATTTTTGTTTAAATTAAAAAGTAATAACATTGCTCCCTCACATTAGTCCTTTGAGCACCAATTTCTCTTCAATAATGACCCTAATACAATGCAGTTCTTTTCTCAAAGTTGCAAAGTTTCTATATTTTACCACAAAGTAAATGCAAAGCTCCTCTGCTTTAGAGTAAAAACAATTCATGAAATCATTAAAATTTCATTTTTCAGCCATGATTCCTCCTTATGATTACTTGAGTCTAAACACACTAAATTCATGTAACCCTCCCTTCCTTAAAGCTGATCATAATTTTCTTTAAAAACTAGTTAGTTCTTTTGGATGTCCTCGTGGTATGGTGGTAAGAAGCTGCACAGTAGTTACAAAGGCATGTGGTTCAAATCCACCAGCTGCTCCACCGGAGAAGGATGGGCAATCTCCTGTGGTGCTATGCACTACCGCTGAAAATCCACTGGAGGGTCAACTATCCGTGAAGCTGATCATTACTTTCTCTTCAATTTTGTTCTTTTGCATATCATCTTCCTCTTTCTACAAAATTTTGGCTAGTCTTTCAGTCACAATTTAAAACAAGCTTCATCCATAAAGTAGTGCATGGGTCTTTTATATATATTTTTCAGTATTTTTTATTGGTTTCCATATAATAATTCTGTTGTGTTATTTTTCACTCATATGCATTGTGTTTCGTACAATCATTTACATACATTGTAATTTTTTCCCATATTTGGTTGCTTACAAAATCTATCATCTATCCTTATACATATTGTGTTTCACACTATTTTTCATTAACATTGTGGTTCACACAATCATTCTCATACATTAAATTTTATAAAATTAATTACCATTGGACCTTACTCATCATTAACTTGTCTTTTCTCCCAGATCTTTCCCATTTGCTTTCCTCTTCCCTCTACCCACCAAACTTTGCAGCCCTTGGGTTTCACCACTACTTCTATTATATTTTAAACCATTAACACTATCTCATTATAATAATATTTTTCTTATATTTCTTTTAAAGGTATAAGCATTCTATTTTTGAGAAGTATCTATCTATTACTTTGTTAAATGACTGTTTCTATCTTAATAAGATTGTGTGTTTTTAATGTATTTAAAACCCATTGTGCATATTAACTTGGATTATCTGATCCAATGATTGAACCTTAAAATTATTAAACTGAGGCTTAGTCTTCTTTGTCATAATATAGCTATCAAAACTATGCATGTGATGCTGACTCAGTTCAGATTCATGGTAACCCTTGAAGCCTGTTGCCAAGGCTGTAAATATTAATGTGGGATTACTCATCTTTCTTCCATAGAATTACCAGCACAACATGCTAAGGACTATGGATTATGTGAGCAGAGATCCTGAAATGAGTATCAAACTCATTGCTGTTGAGTTGGAACTGACTCATAACTGACCCTCTAGGCTGTAAATCACTTGGGTAGAGACTTATTTTTTTCCCCCCACTAAAAAAAAAAAAATAAGAAAAATCCTTGTGGAATTGAATGGTGAGATAGTTGTAGCTTTGGATTAGCCATGCAACTCTGTGTGGACTATATGTTATAAGAGCTCCCTGACAAGCATCTAATGGAAGTCAAATATGACTAACATTTTTTTGTTCTATTTTCTTTGCATTTTAGGTATGATCCCAAAACAGACACATGGACCATGGTGGCTCCTTTGAGTATGCCTAGAGATGCTGTTGGAGTCTGTCTCCTTGGTGACAGATTATATGCTGTTGGTGGCTATGATGGGCAGACATACCTCAACACAATGGAATCATATGATCCACAAACTAATGAGTGGACACAGGTAAGTAAGATTGTCTTTAGCAAAATCAATATTTTTTTGTGTGTGAATACAAGTGAGAATAGATTACAAATAACCTGACTATTCAAATTTCACTGAACCAAACATTATTGATTTAACAATGGGTGTTCATTTAGTTAAAAAAAGGTGTAATTTTGGTTTATATACTTTTTCTATATCTTATACTATAATTTATATTTTTAAAAGTTCGTATAGTAAAGTGGACTGGGGAGGATTGTATAACAATGGACTAATTTTTTTTTCTCCTTCTCAAATGGATAAGTGAATGGGGTGGGAGGAATGGACAGGGAGGAAAATGTGCAACAATGAATTAATGGAAATCCCCAAGTTCTCCATAATGTTTTATTGAAATCTCAACTAAAAAATTTCATATTTCTATGTATTTTCTTTTCACAATAAAAAATAATAAGTAGCAGGCAATGGGTTTGAACTTAAGTAACAAAGTAAAAGTAGTCCACTTATACATGAAGCCTTAAATTTAGCATATTTTAAAAAAGTAACAAATAAATTGTAGGCTACAGAAAACGGGCTTCCATTTTTAGCTGACTCTGCAAAGTCCATTTCTGCAGTCTGCAGACAGGTGAGGCTTTTGGAAACCCCATGCAGAATTCGACACAGAAAGAAACAGAAAGCAATAGATTTTTGCTGTTGTTGTTGTTCCTGTTCAATTAAATAACAAAGAGTAAAAGGCTCTGAAAGGGCTGTCATGTATTAAACGTTCATTCCTGAACAGTTACTGTGGTCAAAAAGAGGGAGTGGACTGCTTAGAGAGCTTTGTGTTGTTGCTAGGTGCCTCTAAGTTGACTATAACTCATAGTGGCCTGTAAACAGCAGACAGGAAAACTGTCCTATCCTGTTTATCATTATGATCTCCAACATGCTCACGCTCATTGCTTCAGTCACTATGTCATTCTCTCATTGAAGATCTTCCTCTCTTTTGCCAAACTTCTATCTTTTTCAGCACCATGTCTTTTTCCAAAGACTCCTGACAACATACCTGAAGAGTGTGAGCTGAAATTACACCATCCTTGCCTCAAAGCAGCACCCTGGTTGAATTTTTCTCT